AGAGATTCTTCTTCGAAAGAAAAATCGGTTAGCGCCGTAAGGTCTTAGAAGAAGATGGTCAAGAGGTTTTGGGAAATCTAATAAATCGCTCCACCAAGATTTATTAGAGATTGTGTAAAGGTCATACAATAGAAGATTTGAAGGTTGTTATTCGTATCCCGTCGAATGTGTACATACTTTCAACTTGCTGGAATTTCCCGAAATATTCCAGTCGCATCCGTGCTTGAAGATTTGCGTCCAGGTACAAATCTCGCGTCCAAGGGTTGCTCCCAGGTTCTCAGTCTGTGCCTAGTTCTTCAGAATTTGCCCAGGTTCAATTGTCACAACCTTCGAGTGTGGTCCAGTGGCGTTTGGCGCTGTCTCCTCCATGCGACGTCGCGGGATCGATCCTTCTCCTTGCAGAAATAGGATATTTTTTTGGTTTCAGGCACGCGGGCTTTCAGGCCCGCATATGGCCCGCGCGCGGCCCGATCTTCCCTCTGAGTCCAGCCCGCGCCAAGCCCGATCTCAGCCCGCGTTCCATCCTCAGCAGTGCGGCCCAGTTTCACTTGCACACGGCCCGCGTGTTGGCCCAGCTCCTTCTTGCGGCCCAACAGCGATGAGATTTCGGCCCAGTTGCTTCCAGCGTGGCCCAGGTGGAGTCCACTCGCTCCAGGCAGCCCAGATCGTGCCCAACTTGGTCCAGCGAAGCCCAGACCAGTCCAGCTCGAGTTCAGAGAGTTCAGGGGCGGTTCAAATCGGTCTAGTAGCCCTGGTTCGTGTCCAAGGCGGTTCCCAAGCGGTCCGAGGAGTCCAACTCACCTACCGAAGGTCCGAGACGATCCGATAAGGTTGATGATCGATTGGAGCACCATGGTGACTCGATTAGAATCAAGAAAGGCCAAATCTAGCCGCCCATTAGACTTTGGTGTTCAGACGATCTCCATCAACGGAAATCAGAAACGTCTCAGAGTCGGCAAAAATTTTAAAACCGTAAGTCCTAATCCTAACTATAGATTCCACTGCGTTAGGATTTATTGTTCAATAGATTTGAATGTGCACATTGTCGACGTTCCTAATAGAACCCAACACATTTGGTGTTGGTAGTTCTGCATTTTCCCACGAGGCCCCATATTCACATCAAGCAGGCCCTAGTTCAGTTACACATACTGGATATCCTTGGGGCGCTGATGATCAAACCGCGGGTTGTTCGAACCAACCAGGTCATTCTCGTGACGATGACAATAATGATGACCAAACCAACACTCACAATGGTGACTCAGGCGACGAAGACAAAGAGGTACATGAGAAGCAAATGTTCAAGCTTTTCAGGCCGTAGTATAGCGAGCATATTGAAGAGCTAAGATTAATCACCGACCATATTGAGGTTGAAAGTCTTGCATATATGAATCGAGGTAGCACCCGACAATCCGACGTTGAGCCACGAATGTGGTCCCTTCCTATGCCGTCCACGACAACTGGATCAGATAGACAACCCATCCACTTACCCTCGAACAATATAAAATTATCTTTGGGGTTTGTCTTTCTTTCGAACGAATAGTTGATTTGTGCCATTCAACTGTATCACTTGTAACAAAAAGTTGAGTGTCGAACACCCAAATCCTGCACTTCTAGGTTAAAATCTGTTTGTCGGTATGAAGGGTGTTCTTACAAGTTATGTGCAAGGGCAAACCGAGATGTATGGAGAATCACTACTTTGAAACTCGAGCATACAGGCGAAGGGAGTTTGACGCACAATCGACACCGTTCGGCTAATTCCAAGGTTCTCGCTCATATTTACGCATCAACTATTCAGACAAATCCCCAGACAGTATCTACACGGAGAATTATTGAACAAATGCGGGAGGAGCATGGTTTGTCGATCAGCTACAATGTGTCCCTCCAAGCAAGACACCGTGCTTTTGAAAAAGTTTATGGAGGTCATGAAGAATCATGGGGGCGGCTTCCCGGTTACTTGCACATGTTGCAGGTTCGTAATCCAGGTACAATTGTCGAACTGCAACGAGATGGCGAGGTATTCCAACACTTATTCTTTGCTCTAGGAGCTAGCATTGAGGGCTTTCAACGAGCTGGTGTCCCGGTAATTGTGATATATGGTACCCACTTGAAAGGAAAATACAAGGGCATTATGTTTGTTGCAGCCACATTGGACGGGAATCACCAAATCTTTCCCCTCGCAGTTGGCATTGGTGATGTAGAGCGTCGTGAGACTTGGAGTTGGTTTTTGACTCAATTGAGAAGGGCCTATGGTTGTCCTGATAACCTCCTCATCGTCTCGGATAGACATGAGTCTATCATATATTATGTCAATAGTGTTCCCCGAGGCGCATCATTCATTTTGCTATTATCACATCACAAAACAAATGAGGCCTTTTGGGAAATCTGTCTTGGGCATATTTTACAAGGCGGCATGTTGTTATCGGCGTGAAAACTTCTATAGTTACTTGTCATCCATCAGAAGCCTAAAACCCGAAGCATTTAAAAAAGCTAACTAATGAAATTCCGGTAAATGCTTGGGCGAGGTGTTTTACACCTGTACGGCGCTATGAATTCATGACATCCAATTCATGCGAAAGTTTGAACAACAAACTCTGTTAGGCCAGGATGTTACCCGTTTGCTCGTTGTTGGAGTGTGTTCGAGCAACAATAGAGAAATGGTTTGTTGTTCGGCGTGCATCCGCCGAGGGTCGCAATCATCCGCTAACGCAGTGGACTCAGTTGCAGTTGGATCCTTTGTTCGAGAAAGGTCGTACTCTATCCATTACCACACTCGGCATGCAACGTTATAGGGTTATGGAAGAAACACGATCCTACGTGGTAGATTTAGAGGCAAGAACATGTGATTGTCGTGTGTTTGAAACAGATCTACTACCTTGCTTACATGCATCTACGGCTATTCGGTAATGTTTACCAAACAACTTTATCGCTTTTTTCTTTAAAAAAAAATTACTATAAATATGATGTGCATTTACGATATGTAACAGGGAAGCCAGGTTAGATATAATGGATTTTGTTAATGACTACAAAACCTACTCAGTTGCAAGGATGTACGAAAGCACCGTTAGCCCCGTCCCGCATCCAGATGAATGGCACTTGCCCCCGGAAATTATGCGTAAAAAGGTAATTCCGCCAAATGATCCCAAACAAGCAGGTCGGCCATGGACTTAACGTTATTCCGCTGGAGAAGGATCATCACGTCGAGTACGACGTCAGCAGATGTGCCCACGGTGCGGGGTCACCGGGCATAACAGGGCGAAGTGCCCTCTATACGATGGTGATAATGACTTTTTTTCAAATGAAGAAGGTCAAAACGCACCAACTCCTCATCCAAGACGCCCGAGGAGATGTCGTACATGTAAAGAAACAGGTCACAAATCGTCATCTTGTCCATCACGTCCAATCCATGACAATTAAAATGAAGATGAAGTTTTTAATTGTAAACCAATTTAACGAAAACAATACTTTTAACGGGAAAAATACTGTGTTGGTGCCCTAAGTTGTGACCTGCACACGATTGACTAACAAAAATTAGTGAAACTGGGTTGATTGAGCGATTCGCATAACATGTCCCATAATAATCGCACAATTGGGTTGATTGTGCGATTCCCATATCATATCCCATAATAATCGCACAACTGGGATGATTCGCCTAGTCTTCGACTGCATAATTAACGAATCGTATATCCAAATCGAAAGCCGCATAATTTACGATTATCCGCCATTTTTTTCGCATATCCATATGGACCGCATTGATTGATTGTCTGCACCGCATATCAAAATCAAAAGTGCTTCGTATATTATTCGCATACGTTACGCACCGCATTGATTGATTGTCTGCACCGCATATCCAAATCGAAAATGCTTCGCATATTGTTCGCATAAGTTAAGATTCGCATCATTTAGGATTATGCGGCATATGTTCGCATAATTAAAGATTCGCATATCTAAATCTATAAGGGTAGATAGTAGATAACTATCGATTATGCATATTGTTATCGCATATATAAGAATCGCATATCCATATAAAACCTCGCATAAATGTATCAATATGCGAACACATTTCGAAAAGTGTTACGCACAACTTTTTTTCACCAAATAGTTTTTTTTCAATTCATTATTAATTTAGTCAAAGACATTTTCCAAAATTTACCAACTATTCGGAAAATATGGGATGTTTGTATGTCGCAATTTTTTACGTCGGGGAATATAAAATTTACAAAAACAAATATAAAAAAAATATGTTATTCGTTATAGTTTGAGTTATGCATTTTTTTTGCGGAAATGTTTCCAGTAATAATTGCAGGTTCTTTCGCCTAATAGTAGTCTTCTTCAATTTATTATTAAATCACAGACAGAAATTAAAAAAAAAAAAGCTAGTTGTATAATATGCGACGTATATGCGGAAATGTTTCGAGTAATTAAAGGCACCAATTCTGCGAATAATATGCGACGTATATGTCGTAATTTTGCATCGACTCAACTACTTTACACCAATTCTGCGAATAATATGCGACGTATATGTCGTAATTTTGCATCGACTCAACTACTTTACATCAACTAATTTTTTATAGGCGAATAATATGCGACGCATGTACGTGACATGAACGTGTTCGCCAAGCCATGTTTGACTTTCGATAAACATTTGAAAGTCTCAATCTAGTATACCCCGGAAGAACAAGCACCTTCGTCTTTGAAGGGGTGCTCCCTTTCACCGTCGTAGGCACCTCAATCTAGTAAACCCCGAAAGACCAAGAAATTCGCAGGAGATTCCACGCCTACCCAAACACATGGCCACCTACAACTTTTTTAGCCTCCAATTTTTTTTAGCTTACAATGTGAGACGACCATGTGCCTGGAAAGGCGTAGGATCTCCAGGGACAGTGCTTGGACTTCCGAGGTATACTAGATTGAGGAGGCTACGACAGTGAAAGGGAGCGCATCCTCAAAGACAAAAGGAGGATCAGGACCCATCTCTCAATTATTCAACCTTCGATTT